CCCGCGCCCCAGACCCGGCTCCGCCCCTCCCTCCCGACTCTCCTGCGGCCCCGCCCCCACCCGCGCGGAGTTGGGGTCCGAGCCTGGGCCCCCCACTCCCTCCCCCTGCTCGGCCCGGATCTCGGGCCGGTGCCCCGTCCGGCGCCCCGCGATCCGGCCCGAGATGGGCTCGGCCTGTCCACCGGCTCGTGTCTGGACCTGATGGCCATGCCATAGGGCCGGCGCGGGCCAGCACGCCCCTCCCTGGACCCCCCGATCCCCCTCGCCGGACCCCGATCGCCCTCGCCGGACTCCGATCCCCCTCGCCGGACCCCCGATCCCCCTCGCCGGACCCCGAGCCCCTCTCCGGACCCCCGATGCCCCTCCCCAGACCCTGATGTCCCTCTCCGGACCCCCGATGTCCCTCTCCGGACCCCCGATGCTCAGGCTCAGTGGGCTCTTCGCGAGGCTCTGTCTGCCGGGTGGGGGTCCCCGGGTCCTGGGCGAGCGTGCTTTCTTGCAAGCTTCCCTCTTCCTTTATTATACTTTGGAATCGCGGGTCTTCATTGAGAAGATTCCTTAAAATCAGTTTTCCCAACTCAGGTTGTGGAGTCCTGACTCGAGGCAGCATTTTTTTTTTTTTTTTGAGGCAGCATTTTAAAGGGTAAAACTCGTTTGCACGCGGCAACCGGGACCCAGGGGGACAGGGGGGCTCCGAGATGCATTGGGAAGGGAACTCGGGGTGCTCGAGCTGTTTCTCAGGCTCATGGGGCTCCGAGCTTCGTTGGGATGGGAACTCAGGCGCTCGAGCTGTTTATCGAGCTCCTCTCACCCAGGAGCTCCTCTCACCCAGAACCTCCTTTCGCAGGCATGAAAGCGCACTCTGGAGGAGTCAGATGATTTACCTACCTGCTGGAGGGCACCCAGCCTTCTTCTCAACAGGCTCACCTCGGATGCTGTTTGCTGCCTTAACTCGTCCTTCCCACCAGGTATGTGAGCCACTGTCCACCAGAGTCCCAGGTCTGCTTGAATGGAGTGGCCGGTCCCCTGTGCTGAGTGCTTCCAGCTCCTTGCACCCCTGGGGGACAGAGCAGACTGCCCACAGGGTGTCCTGAGGCAGGAAAACCTTTCAGGAGCCAACTGCTTTGTGTTTTCTCTCACAGATCAGAAGATGGATTCAAACCACTGACCTTCCCCACTGCACAGCCAGGACTTGTTATTAGTAATATAGGTAGGGCTTTTCTGGGTGCACTTCTTTCACCTTGGGTCCCTTGTGGCTGTTCTGTTTTGTACTTTGGGTCTCTGTCCACATTCTGGTGTTAAATAGCAATCTTTTTTTTATTAGTATTATTTTGTATGCGTGTACCGTCAAGTCCGATCTGACTGGTACAGGAAGAGATTGCCCCTCCTTCTCCAACAGAGCATTGTAAAATTGCAACCTTAATGATTCTCCTTGGCAGAAGAGGGAGACCGGCGGGGCTCAGTTTTTCTTCCCCACTTTTGCATAGGGAAGTTAGTAGACCCAGGGAGAGCTCCAGAGGCCAGCGAGTTCTGGGAAATCCTGGGGAGGCTGGGTCAGTGAGGGCTGCGGACCAGCCTGTGGAAGGGCTCCTGGCCGGGTGGGGCGTTGGGGGTTGGGGATTAGACCTCAGCGTCTAATCTGTGGGCTCAAGATAGTGCAGCTATTTGAAGTGCAAATTTCAGCTGCGCTCTGAGCCCTGCCAGCCCGTGGGGATTGGCACCTCAGCCTCTGCAGACGGTTCAGCGGGAGCCTGGCACATAGTGTGAGGAAATGGGGCCTGCGGACTGTCTCCTTCTTCACTAGTTTTGCGGGAGGATTCCAGCATTGGAGATAACAGCAGTTACTGTTTTTCCACTTGTGTTTTTGTCCCTCTCCAGACCTGCTGTTTGAGGAGTTTTTATTGGTTTTCCCAAGGCAGAGAAAATGATTCAAGAAATGCTTCTGATACTTGTTACTCTCTTTGAGCCAGAATGTTTCAGAGCTAGGGAGAATTTCGAACTATTGACCTGGCACAGGCATTTGGAGGAAGGGCCGCTCTCTGTCTTGCCTGGATGGTGGGGCTGAGGTCTTTATCTTTTCTTATTCACCTGCCCTTGGGTTTAATGTTATAACACTGCTGCTAACTAGAAGGTCGGTGGTTCGCGCCCACAAGCCACTTCATGAGAGAACGCTAGGACAGTCTGCTTGTGAAAGGATTTGCAACCTCAGGATCCCCACTGAGCAGTTCTGCTCTGTCTTCACAGGGGCATGGGGGGGTCAGCATGGACTCCATGGCCGTGTGTTTGGTTTTGCATACTTCAAAAGAATTTTCCTGGGTTTTGTGTATGTGGCCCTTCCGTTGTGTCAGTAGACTGAGCTTCCTGACTTGTTTCTGTTCTGCAGGTGTGAGAGGATTGCTGTTACTGTTTCAGTCATGGTGCAGAAGTACCAGTCACCGGTGCGGGTGTACAAACAGCCCTTTGAGTTAATTATGGCCGTAAGTACCTTTCGTTGGCCTCCTTGCCACCTTCTCTTCTTTCTGGAGCTGATGATGTGGAAATTTATGCACATGTTACTGTGTGTCTCTGGTTGTTCTTTATGTTATGTTTTCTCACTGATGAACCTTTTCTGGAATCCATAAAATGTTTTCAAAATACAGGCCCCTGGAATTCAGATCTGCACATTGGTGTGTTTTTTAAAATGTGCTTAGGGAAGCACATTGGTAGCAGAATTAATTCTCTTTGAGAACACAGAAGTGGGATTCTGACTCAGTACTTTTTCCTCTGAATTTCACGGTTTTTTTGTTCCATTTTTTAAAGGAGAAGAGGGCTCTGGTGTGTCATTTCCCCTGTCTGCTCTCATTCCTTTGGGTGCTGTGGTTGTGGGTGGATTTACTTTAGGTGGTCTTTGAGCTGCAGGCCTGGACTGGCTGTTAACCCAGGGGCGTTATAGCATTGAATTTCCTCCCCTTATATCAGGTTTGCATATCAAATTAGAATTCTCCAGACCGGATTATGGAAATCATAATTTCCTTTGTTATTTACCTGAGGCCCTTAGCTGGAAGTAAGCATTTCCTTAGATGGAAAACAGCGACAAAACCCTCTTTTCTGTCACTTTGAGATCAGTGGATGGCTTTGCTCTCCTCCCTGCTCCTGCCCCAGGTCTCTGCCGTGTTGTTGCTGTGAACTGACTCTGGCGGGTTTTCAGAGGCATTCAGTTGCACAGGAGGAGATTGTCCATCTTCCTTCTGTGGAGCAGCTGGTAGATTTGAACCATGTACCTTTGGGATTGCAGTACAGCTTCTTACCACTAGGCTCCCAGAGCTCCCTGCACAGAGTGTAACATGTATGTGTACAGAAAAGTGCCTCTATCACAAGCCTAGGTTCTGGTGGAGATAGTTCACGGCCTCTGCCTGTGGCTCCTGGCTCAAGGAAAAGGCCACCAGCTGCCCTGCCCTGCCCATCTTTCTGCCTCTCGAAGGAGACCATCCCTGACTTCTGGGGCCCCGGTGGCTCTCCGCGCTTCTGCCCTTTTGGTCTTTAGCACAGGTGCGGTTGGTACCTTTGGGTTTGGCTGCATCTGTTCAACCTCACATGAGAGCTAGCCAGACCCACATAGAAGTAAACTACTGTAAACAAATACAGAGTTCAGAAGACTAACGACATCCTCCTCACGGGATCAGTGTCGAGAGCTCTGCTTTTGGTTTTTAGTTGGGGTGTAAATGTACATTGAGGAATGGCCACATATTGGATAGATAGTTGACAGACCCTGTTTGAGGGACAGATGGCTGCTGTGAAGTTGGCATCCTTTACTCCTTCGGCTTCCTGAGCCCTTTGCTGTCAGGTGTCAGGGCTCGTCTGAGGGAACAAACAGGCTGGTGCATTTGGTAGACGGGGTTAGCCAGGACCGTGCGGTATTTTAGGCTTCCGAGTTTCGGAAAGACTTGCTTGTCATAACATGACAGGGCCTCTGATTTGCATGTTCCGTGTTTGCATGCCGGGTGTGTTAAGCTGGCTGTTGGTTGTACGGAGCTGAGCCCCATGCCCACCTGACAGACCACTCGGGAACACAGGGTGGGCTGACTCCATGAGTTGCTGGTGGTGTCTGGGGCCGCCATGGCAGGTGTTTCTAGAAGCACACGCTGTGTGACAGCCTGGCTCTGCGCACTCCAGCTTCCCCCCCAAGTGCCTGCTGCCCGTCAGAGTGTCCCCTCCCCTCTAGCCAGGGTCCCTTCGCCCCTCGTCGAGCCCCGTGGCCTTCCGCTTTGTCGTCTGTTTCTGAGTAACCAGCTCTGTCATATGTCTTTGGTCAGATTCTTAAGAGAAACTGGATCTGGTTCATCTTTTCCCTCCGGACCTAGGATGTAGGCTGTTCTCCGCAGCCTGAGGGTGATCTGTCCAGGGCCTCGCCTCTGGCTGAACCTTTGTTTACGACCAGCCCTGGGCTGGTGGGAGTTGGGGAGGAGGGGAGTTATGGCTGGGGAGGGGTGAGGGTTGTGGGAGCAGAAATGCAGTACTGAATGAAGCTCCCGTGGAGGTCTGAGGCCTGTGGGCAGAGGGAGGGCGAGGCCAGCACAGCACCCACTTGACCAGCCAGAGCCTGTGTAAGGCAAAACCTGTCAGAGAAGGAGAAGTAAAGATATTTAGTTGTTTGACTGCGGCCTACCAGGGGCAGCAGGCTTTCAAGACCCCAAAATACCCAGGTTTCACTGTATTACATTCCCAGAACATTGAAGTATAGTTTAAAAACTGATGCCACCTTCGTAGTTGGAGGCAAAAGCAGTCTCTTCTCCAAGCTTTGGATTTAGTCAGGAGATATTCTGATGGTCAGGTGTTAACATTTTATAAAAATTGTGAGGTTGACTTCTTACGACTTTATTTATAGATTTACAGAAGAATTCAAAATTCAAATTATCCTGAGCTGTCTGCCTTCCCTGATTCTACCACAATTAAGTGACCCTTTAATGCAGTGGTTAGTTTTATTTTACTTGTCAGAAAATATTTTTGATCTGAAAATGAAACATTTCTTTTTTTTCCTTTGCAGTATTAGAGACAGAAATGTGTAGGAAGCCTCTAGTTGATTTATGTGGGGTGTCATTTGCCCTGTTTTGTGCCTGTAATTGTCTGCCTTAAAATCATCAGTATTTACCTTGTTTGATTTTCTCCTTTATTGAGACAAAACAGTCAATAATAGTTTCTGTGAGAACATCCTTCTGGTTCACATTCAGATAGTCGAAGGCAGCCTGCAGTTAAGGCCAGTGCGAAGAGAAGCATGTGTTTGAGAACCTCTGAAGCTGGACTTAAGTGATCACACAGCAAGCAGGACGGTGTCTAAGGAGGGTGGCCAGTGGTGGCTGAGGGACAGGAGGATGCGGTTAGGTGCCATCGGTTCGACTGCACCTCATCCTGACCTTATCAGTAGCAGATGCAGCCCTTGGCACCGTGGCCAGTGACTGTCAGTCCATCTCCTGGGGAAACAGACCCTCTGCCTTTCCGAGCATGATGTTCTTTTCCAGGGACTAGCCCCTCCTGACAACATGTCTGTGAGTCACGTTTCACCATCCTTGCTTCTACGGAGCACTCTGATTGCATGTCCTCCAAGACATACCTGTTCTTTCAGCAGACCATGGGATGGTCAGTGCTCTTCTCCAGCACCACAGCTCACAGGCATAGGTAGGTGGACCCAAGTCCTAATTCTCAGATCCTGTGAGGAGGAAGACTGCTCGAGAAGATACCACTTGGTCACCTTTAGTCTGTCCTGGGAGCCCTGGCAGTGCAGTGGTTAAGTGGCCACTTCCTTTGTTGACATGTTGATATTACTTGAATCTTTTGTTCTCCCTTTGACCTTGGTCTGGGCCTGGCATGTCCTTGTGGGAATAACTGCCTCTGAAAACCCACCTGAGGGTGAGCCGGGGGGGGGGGGGGTTGGTTTGACTTGATGGTACACCACCACCACAACAATGTAAAGGTTGGTGGTTGGAGCTCGCTTGCTGCTCTCCCAGGGAACACTGATGCTTTCTGGGGAAGAGATGGGGCAGGCAGTTCTACTCATTGGCAGTTGTGTTTTTTGTTGTAACGAAAAGCTTTATTGTAATTTAGCACTTCCAGGAAAGTTTCAGTAGAAAGTGATTTGCAAAAATTATACACAGTGGGTCTCAAATACATTCATTGCTTTTCAGTTGTTGTAATGGCAAGTTAGCACGTGTTTTGGGTCATCATACTGGTTGTGGAAAAGTTTTGAGGTTTGAATTCACCCAGAAGCAGCAGGGAAGAGCGATCTACCACCCTCTCTAGAAACGCGCCTGTGGAGCTCAGTTGTGTGACGCCGTAGCGCATACGACTGCTTCCGGCAACGCTACTGTTCCAGTTAACGCTTTTGGATTAACGATACTTAAATAAGCAGGAGTTTGTCGGCAGGGGTTTGTGGCTTTTCTTGGGTGCTTATTCTTTTGCTAGAGGCAGCTTGAGCCCCGCGTGGAATCGGAGACTCTGAGAGGTTAAAGCCAGCCCTGGTAATTAGTGCTTGAGATGGGCTGATTCTGGTCTCGAGTTCTCCCTGCCTGCCACACTACCTCCCAGGTAATGCCATCCTCAAGCAAGCCATTAAAGTTCTGGTCAAGGTGTCGTCAGCTCTCCCAGCTGTCACCCTGCTGTTTCCTGGGCTACTCAGCCTGCCTGGTGGGAAGGAGAGAGGAACGTGGGCGCATGGAGACCGTGCGGTCAGTGGGTTCCACTGCACGGTGACACCCCCAATCCCTGTCAGTTTTCTTAGGCTGTAGATCTTATTGGGAGCAGACTGCCTCCTGTCTTTCCCTCAGAACAGCTGGTGAGCAGTGAGCAGACCAGCCTGTAACCCATTCCACCACGGGGCTCCTTAAGAACCCAAGAAGGACTTGTCACTTGATTAGGATTTGTGGTCTTAGGTGGACTGCCTCTGAGAAGGACTGGGTTGGGGAGAGTCGTTCTCAGAGACTTGGATAAGGGGATGTTTCTTTTTGAAATTTCTGAGATCGAATTCAAGTTTTCAAACTGAAGTACTTTCAATTGCAGCCACTTTCCCCACCTCGATGTCAGTGGCCCTTTAAGAAAAGGCCCAAAGGACTCATTGGGACATCATGGGCAGGAAGGGTGAGAGCAGACGTGGGGAGGAGGGTGGCCGGGCTTGCTCTGAAATGGGTGAGCGAAGGAGGAACTTGGGGTCTGTCTGCCTTCTGGTGACCATTGGGCGGCAGATGGCGACTTGGTCCCTCTGTGACCCTTTTTCAGCTGTCATTGTAACCAGATACACAGGTGACAGGAGAAAGTCCGCTGCTTTCTGTAACAACTGACAAAGGGTCCCCAGGCCCGTCCCAGTTGTCCCTCAGCTTCTCTGTGTCACAGGTGTGGGGTGTCGTCACCCACCCATCCATCCTGGCCCCTCAGCAGACACGGCGTGAGGCGGGGTTTCCTTGTCTCTGGAGGGAGGGGCTCCCGCATTGACTTGCTTGTCTCTGCATTT